GTGCGCTCTCCATTGAGGAGGCCATCTTTATAGAAACCAGCTTGTTGAGGGGGGTTGGGGGAGGAAGTCGTCTTGTTCTGCAGCTCAGCAGTCACAGCTTTTCACCCCATCCACAGGCAAAGGGACAGACTCTCCAGGATCACAGCAAACCAGCTATAAGAACAATGGGGGTGTTTGGATATTTTACTTGCATGTTCTCGATGCGATGAATTGTATTTAAAGAATATTGCCTGTCTTAATGACAACGACCCAGTGGACGGTGATGTTGAGTGCGGTTGCTTCTCTTCCTCTCTCCATCCTCACACCAGTACTCCCACTGATCCTTGCCGATACCCCACTATTTTAGAATAGCTACAAGAGACCCTGTGATGTCACCTTACTATTACGATGTTACGGAAGGGAGCGTTTCCCCTTTGGACCTGACGGTAACAAGTTTCCATCTCACGTTGACGCACTGAACCCCTCGACAATGGAGAAGCTTAGGAGACTCATATCAAAGAACTGCAGTCGGGTTTGGGCTCGACACGGAAGAGAACACTGAATTCTGAAAGAAGGCGAAAAATACAGACATTTGTTTCTCAGATCACCTGGAATACATAAATAAAAAAACAACTTAACTAAAACAAACTAAGCGTAAAAAAGATACCATAAAGGGGGATTTCCGTAATTGCTTCTGTTTTCTTTAATACTCTACCACAAAAACACTTTCCAGTTAATATAATGTATGAATGATGATGGGACTCTAACTTGCCGTCCTTACCAACTTTTCCTGATGAAGTGCCACACGCAGGGTCCGAATAACACGATTCATCACTGGCGGAGAGACAAAAAAAGAGTCAGCGGGTAAAACATCACAGAGAAGCAATGGTTCATAGCTGTCTATTGGCTTCATCCATCTCCCTTTTAGGACAGGCTACTCGGTAGAAAGGTGAGGCATGGTTGGGTCTGTTCAAAAGGATACACTTTTGGCTGAAAAACATGTAAAAGCTTTTTTCAACGAACTTAACTTTAACCAGCCTGGGTCATTTAGTTTTATCAGAACAGAGCGCCGTACTCACAGTGCGCAGTCTGATGCAGGAGGGAGGCTGTTGACCTCGCATGTCGTCTTGCTGGGCTGACTGTCTGAAC